GTACTGCCTGTCTGGTAGACACGCGAGGGGGCTGGCGCTGGACTCACTCACGCTTCGCCGGGACCATGAGCAGGATGGGCAGCACCCCAGGATCTGCATAGGCCCGGGCCAGTCCCACTTCCCGCCGACCGAGCTTCCCACCGGACGGTTTCCCCCCAACCCACTCCCGGCCAGCCCTGCTTCCCACTGTCCAGTCCCCCCATCTGAGATCAAGTGTGTCTGGTATTTTTTTTTTACTCATCTGGTAACCCTATTCCCAGCCCCGTTGCTACTGAGCCTGCTGCTGGGGACTCTTCTCCCCTGGCCCTCTCCCCACTTGCATGCGCCATAGTCCCCCTCCCTCTTGACAGTGTGTGTAGTGGTGGTGGGGATGCCTAGCTCAATGCCCCTGCAGAGAGAGCTGTCTGGTCCCCTCCCCTTCTTGCTCTCTCCCCACAGGCTTGCTGCGTTCTGTGCCAGCAGTGGAGTTGGGGGGTGAGGTGTGGGGAAGAGGCCATGGGGAATGAGGGGAGGGGGATGGAGAAGCAAAGGGGATGAGGAATCAGGGGGTGGGAAAGGAGTCTGGCATGCAGTGTCCCCTCAGTAGCATGTGGAGCTCCCTGGTTAAGCAGACCCATCTAATCCTCTCCCTGACAAGCCCAGCTCCCCTACACCTGGACTCATCCAACAAGCCCCCTACACCCACAGCCTACTGAGCCCCAGCAAGCTGCACCTGGACCCTACCCCATCAAGCTCCACTTTCCCAGTACCTGGGCCCCACACCAAGCCCCACTTTCCCTTGACTCCTCCACAGAGTCCCATTGCCTCCTACGCCAGATCCCCCCACGAATCCCTGTGCATCCAGCTCTCCCACTGAGCCGCCCACACCGGGATCACCTCCAATAACCCTGCACACTTGGCTCATGCTGGGCCTGCCCAACCACACCTGCCACGCCTGGCACAGGGGCAGGGCCAGCCCTCACACTGTCTGGGTCAGGTGCAGCCTCACTGCCAAGTTCCTGTACGGGGGGAAGCTGGGATTTCAGGGTGATCACCCCACCTCAATGCAGCCAGTGGCCTGTGCTCCCCTCTGCTAGAAATGTCACGATCTGGGGCTTTCTTAAAGGCCTTCCTGTCACAGCCGTCCAGTGTGACATTTATCAGAGGGGTAGCCGTGTTAGTCTGAATCTGCAAAAGCGACGAGGAGTCCTGTGGCACCTTATAGACTAACTGAAGTGTAGGAGCATAAGCTTTCGTGGGCAAAGACCCACTTCGTCAGATGCATGTAGTGGAAATTTCCAGAGGCAGGAATAAATATGCAGGCCAGGATCAGGCTGGAGATGACCAGGTGGATCCAATCAAGGAGGATGAGGCTCACTTCTAGCAGCTGATCTGGAGGTGTGAATTCCAAGAGAATAGAAGCTGCTTTTGTAGTTAGCAAGCCATTCACAGTCTTTGTTTAATCCAGAGTTGATTGTGTCAAACTTAAAGATGAACTGTAGCTCAGCAGTTTCTCTTTGAAGTCTGGTCCTGAAGTTTTTTTGCTGCAGGATGGCTACTTTTAGATCTGCAATTGTGTGTCCAGGAAGATTGAAGTGTTCCCCTACAGGTTTTTGTATGTTGCCATTCCTAATATCAGATTTGTGTCCATTGATTCTTTTACGTAGGGACTGTCCAGTTTGGCCGATGTATATAGCAGTAGGGCATTGTTGGCACATGATGGCATATCATGGCTCATGCTGTGACATTGGGACCCATCATTTAAGGCTTGTTTGCAAAGCGAGTATTTCCACTGATTTTTGTTATGAGACAGCAGATGAGGAATTTAATTATCCTGCGTCTTAGTTTCTTCATCTGAAAAAAGGGATGCTACTAATATTTGCCTGCCTCACAGGACTATGTGTGAATTCATTGGTCTGGGTGTGGTGTTTGGGAGTCATCAGATGGATCGTGCTGAGAAGGGCCATTTTGCAAAACGTGTTTTACAATTTTGAAATCTTTCTGCTTCATTCGTGCAGTAGCCGCTGCTCCTGGATTGCAGGAGAATTTCAGGTTGGGACTTTATAGGATGACGCCTGTCCTATAAAGTGATGTGATGCTGGAGCAATTTGCTGGAGGCAGGGGCAGTGAGAGCAGGGCCCCACCAGGCCTCCCCGCCATCACTTTTCAAAGGGCTAGTCAAAGATGCAGGTAGGCCGGCCAGCCTTATGCTGTGTGGGAGGGCTGGATCATTTGTGGCAGCAGGTCCCCTGTGCTGGCCTCCTAAGTGGGACTGGGCAGAACAATCAACGGCCCAGAGGAATGGATCCGCCTCCCCCTAGGCCAGAGGAGCCCTTCAGAGATTTCCCACAGGTCAGCAGTGGCCTGAGCCGGGGCAGTTTGTGGTGTTTTTTACTTGTTCAAATTCTGTGATGGACAAGGCAGGGGCGCACCTGGTTAGGGAGGGCAGTGATCTTGAGTGGTGGGAGCCTGAGGAGAAAGGGGTGTGGAGGGAAGAAAGGGGATAGAGGGAGGACGGACGTGGTGGCAGGAAGGAAAGAAGTTATTGGCAGGATCGGTCTCAGCTCTCTTCAATGGTTGGGAGATTTCATGTTCCTGGTGAGAACAGGACCAGGGATTTGGTTCTGTTCCCCCTGGGGATATTGGGTCTGCCAATCTGATACATAAAGCTGGCACCACCATGCTGCCTCAGTGGGACATTTTACCTCCTTGGTTCTGTGAGCTGAACCAGTGCTGCTGTTAAAGCAGTAGCCAGCCTGGATTTTACTGGCATGGCCCTTGGCAATTCTTAGTCACTGTTGGAGGTGCTGTGGCAACAATCAACATCGGAAGCTTCACTTGTTTGTGTGAAGCAGTGAAAGTGGGGTGGCAGCTTCTGCAGCCTGATTCCAGCCATTTTCTTCCTATCTGGGGGCAAATGCCAGCTTCAGGCGAGGCCTGACACCTTGTTTGACTGTGAGGAAAGGACCGAGATTTCTCAACGAGCTTTAACTGCTGCTTGCCATTCTGTGTTTCCTGGGATCAAGGAGAGGGGTTTGGGGCATTTGCAAGCTGCCTGCATGTCAGCTCTGATGGTATCTAATAAACCTGTGACTGACATTTCTTATTCCCAAATTTAGTACTGTTAATTAGGTACCTTCTGCATGTCTTCAGCCTGTTAATTTCATTAGGGGACCCCTAGTTCTTGTGTTATGTGCAGGGGAAAATAACACTTCCTGAGTCACTTCCTCCACACCGGGCATGATTTTTGTAGACCTCTCTCAAATCTCTCCTTAGTTGCCTCTTCCAAGCTGAATGGTTCCTTTTTAATCTCTCCTCGTAGGGAAGCTGATCCAAATTTCCACTCGGTTTTGTCATCTTCTCTGCTCCTTTTCCCCATGTACCTTTTTTGAGATGGGGGCAAATAGAACTGCTTGCGATATTCAAGATGAAGTCATACCATGAATCTACATAGTGGCATTATGGTTTTTACAGTCTTATCGTTGGTCTTTTTCTTAAGGGTACCTACTTTTGGGGTTTTTTTGATGACCGCTGCACAGTGAGCAGCTCTATTCAAAGAACTAACCACAATGACTCCAAGATCTTTTGAGTGGTGCCAGCTCAATTATACCCCTTCATTTTGTGTGTCGAACTGAGATTGTGTTTTCCAATGTGTGTAACGTCGCATTTATCAGCATTGACTTTCATCTGCCATTTTCTTTCCGTTTCCCAGTTTTGTGAGACCCCTTTGTAGCTCCTTGCAGTCTGCTTTGGACCTTACTGTTTGGATTAATTTAATATCCTGCGTGAACTTTGCCAGCTCACCCTTTCCAGACCATTTCTGGGTATGTTGAACAGCACTGGGCCCAGAGCAGATCCTTGGGGACCTCCTACTATTTACCTCTTTCCACAGGGGAAACTGACCATTTATTCTTACTCTTAATTCCTTGCCCTTTAGCCAGTTACCAATCAATGGGAAGACCTTCCTCTTATCCCCATAACACCTTACTGTGCTCAATATGAGCCTTTGGTTAGGGACAATGTCAAAGATTTTCTGAAAGTTCAAGATACACTATATCCACTAGATCTCCCTTTTCCACCTGCTTGCTGGCCTTCTCTCAGAGTTCTTGTAGCTTGAGGTATGATTTCCCTTTGCAAAAGTCACATTGACACTTCCCAACAAATTGCGAAGCAAAGTGGAGCTCTTCTGTCCTGCTCTTTATAAATGTGATGCATGCCTCAACTTCTCCTATACGTTGTGTTGCCACCCCGTGGGGGGAAGGGATACGTTTGTTCTCAGCAGGGACACTGAGAAGAGACCCTAGCAGGAGAGCAGAGGCCTCAGGTGTGCAAAGTGGGGTCCATGTGTGCTCTAGAGGAAGCTGGCATGCTCTGACCGTGGAACTGACGAAGGATAGGGTCAGAGAGAGCTGCGGACCGTGGCCATGCGGCTCATGCCAGCTTGGCTGGTGAACTGTGGCTAGCCCAGCAGCTCTCCTCTTTTCCTGACGGCTATGCCTTGTTGGAGGCAAGTTTGTCTTGCACCCCGTGTTTCACCACAGTGACAAACAGTGCACTTACAAAATCAGACCTAAAACTACAGGCGTGACTCAGCACCCTCTGACTGACAAACTGCTGATGCCTCATTGTTACCACGGGATTAGAGATGCCTATTGTGCTGCCATTTCAGCGTACAGCATGTAGACCTGTAGAAACAAGGCCCGGCTTGGAGGACAGTCGAGTCTCTGCTGACTTCACTCGGGGTTTATGTAGCCTGCTGTACATAGGGAGCTGAGTCCATGTCCCCCTGGTATGGGCGGCAGGTCTCTCATAGGGGTGAAGCAAGAGGCTGGAGCCCAGGGGACCAGGCTGGAAGGCACTGGGGCCATGTGGCTGACCCCGAAGGGCGCTGGCTTGCTAAATGGCTCCTTCAAGGACCTTGTTCAAAGCCCAGACTATGCGCCTCCGGTGGGCAGGTTGCCGAAGGGCACGAGAGCAGGGCTTGGTGGGCGGTGGGGAGTAGAGGGGTGGGTGGCTTGGGGGCCAACAAGGGGCTTGGTGCGATCTGTTGAGTTGTGTCACTGCAGCTCAGAGTCTTTCTGGTTTACACAACAGAGAAACTGTCCAGCTCCCCTATTCCCTGTTCATTGAAACCCTTTGCAAAGCGTTGACCCCTGCCCTCTCAGCCTCCATCCTGCCCTCTAACTGCTCCTACCACTGCCCTCCCGCAATGTGGCATGCCCGCTGTGCCCCCACCCCAGCTCACCTTCCATGAGGACCCGGAAGACGTCCCTGAGGATGGTGAGGGTGGAGCCCAGCACGAAGATGGAGAAGAGGAAGGTGCTGATGGGGTCTGCAATCTTGTATCGTGGCTGCAAGGGGCAGGTTGGGATTACACCTGGCCAGGATGCCCAGGGCCTTTAACAGCACCACCCTGCAAGGCGTACAGACCTGGGCGTGGACTCCAGGATCTGCAGCCCAGCCCCACTGGAGGGAGGGGGGCATGTGGCACTTCCTTGGGGCTGGGTGCCAGGGTCCCAGCAAGGGGGCCTATTGGGTCTCGGTCTAGACCCTCTGGGCAGGTGCCATTTCCCCCCAGGCCACAGCCAGCCCCCAGAGTCCCCAAGACAGGCTGGGGCCAGTGGGGACAGAGCACCCCCGACCCCCACCCCGTGGCTGTCCCCTGTGACTGCAGCTCTGCTGGGAGCGGTTCTTTCCACGTGACAGGTTACTTTCAGAAAATGCCATTATTCACAGCTCCTGGCCTGTGGCCCCGGGGCACTGGCTCCTTCCTGCCATCCCCTGCAGCAGCCCCAGCAGGGCGAGAGCAAGGGGCAGGCCACAGGCTCTCAGGTGCCAGGCCCATGAGTGGGGCACACAGGTGTTGGCTGGACAGTGACCCCACTGATTTGGCCCCACAGTGGGTGGGATGTGGGGGTAAAGAGGTTACAGAGAGAGGCTGAGGGAAAAGAGGCATGGATGGGGCAAGCAGGGCGTAGCGAAGGACTCTGGGACAAGCTAGGGGGGGGCGGGGCAGGGCAGCAGAGGGAGGGCCCTGGTTAGGGGCGCAGGGCAGAGCAGCAGAGGGAGGGCCCTGGTTAGGGGGGCAGGGCAGGGCAGCATAGGGAGGGCCCTGGTTAGGGGGGCAGGGCAGCGGAGGGAGGGCCCTGGTTAGGGGCGCAGGGCAGGGCAGCAGAGGGGGGGGCCGGGGTTGGGGG